CATTTAATATTATGTTATAGAAACAGTTTCAACCCAGTAAATTGAGACTTAAATCAGATTGTAAACGTCAGAAGATTATATATTTATCTCACTATAAGCTGCTAATGCTATCAATGCTTTTTGTTGCCACAAAAAAAAGACATTGTTGACTTACGGCACAAACTCTGATGGTGACAGCAAAAAATACTGATGGCGGTGATGATGAACAATCTGAAATCAACAGATGACAAGAAGAAAAAACAAACAAACGCACATTATATCGCCTCTTCAATCATTTTCGACTGGTAAAAGACAATTTAACGGGCTTATAAATTGCTAAAATTGATCAAAAAAAAAAAAACTAAAGACAACAGAGGAAAAATTTTTGCTGTTAAATAAATAGCATTTATTAAAATCATTTCACAATTATATCAGCAACTGCTCGTAATGTAATAAAACCTCTGCATAAATCTTGCAGCAATAATTTTACATGCATTTTATCTGTTAGTTAAGCAGGATGAGAATGAAATAAAGTACACCAGAAATTGGCCGTTTGTTCAATAAAGCATAGAGGATTTTGCTTCATGTTTCATAAAAAATATATGATACTATTTGCCTGGCCGAGTGAACGAAGTTGGTACAGAATTAGCTGTTTTGTATATCGTCTACAAATAGTTTTCTCATTGCATGCAAAATTGCACTTTTAATCGTCAGAGACTTTTTATTCTGTGTGGTTTTCTATACAATGCTTTTTTTTAAAATAGTTCTGTATCAACTATTTTTTTTTGTTCTCTCACATTTATTACTTCTTAGAGGCTGCCAAGCCAATTGATCTTTTGTGCTTCTTGCTGCGCACAGACGTTGACTGCTAATTGAAACTTATACATCACCTAATGCATGTAAGCCGATGATAAGACATAACAACAAAACAAACAGTACAAAAATGTTGCCTCAACTAAAACTACCAAATAATGTGGAATGCGCCAAGTATCAAAGACCAGTCGATAAGTCTGCTAGAAAAAATGCACATACCTTAATGTTTTCTATTAGTTATTGCTTAAAAATTTGTTAACTAAAGTACAGCATTACTATAAAGGTTTGAAACATAAATAACAGTATAGATTTTCAGTAATTACTATCAACATTAATTGTTTAAAATATGAGAATTGTAGAACCGCGCAATTTGAAGTTCTCATTAACAGATAAAAATTTTCTCTACTCAAAAATGAAGTGGTTAGAGGAAATTGAGGAAGTGAAGTTTCGAGTGAATAAACTAGGAGACGGTCTGTAAAAAGAAAAAAAAGAAGAAAAAAGGAGAGACAAAAGCAAAATACTTTTAACTGGTCTACAAAAAAATTCTTGGAGTTATTCAAAAAATCTAAGCTCTAGTTGAAAAATCATAGAATGTCGAGACTTTGATGTCTTTAACCAGATGTTTGCTTCAGTTATCGGAACTGTAAACCATTCTTGACATGTACAACCAATTTAACATTTCAGTGCAATCACAACAAATTAAAAAAAACTGTTGTAGCAGCAACAATTTCTGAAACCATATTTTGACTGACAAATATTTTTTTGAATTTAAAAGTAAAAAATTTTTAAAAGTTATTGCTTCTTCTTGAATCTTTTTGATAATATGTTTTTGATAAACATGGCAATAAGTTTGTTACTACGAAGAAAACAGAAGAATGTTATATGACTCTTCGGTCTTAACAATGAATAATCACTTAACAAAATTTGTTAGTAGGCAAAAAAACATCAAATATAACATATAAAAATAAATGACCTTTTATAATTCAAAAATAACACAATTAATATTAGACTTTATTGAAAAGATCAACTGATGGATACACTAACAGCCACTTTAAAACAGTTTGTTCATAAACAAAGCAAACATATCAAATGATAAAGAAACTCTTCTTAAAAGCTTATATTTTGCTATATTTATAACAGTCTTAACTAGGAAATCAAAAGTAAAACCTTTGCTGTTGTAAGCTTTAAGAATGCTTTGAGCTCAGAGTAATTCTTACAATTCAGAATTGGTAGCATTTTCAATTTCTCAATTAGCAAGATCAATATTGTAAATTATTACCATTTTAGATCATCATTTTTACGACTTCTACTGCTACAGGCAGGCTGAAGAGCTAAAACAGTTATAAAAACTTTGTATGATCTTTTCTTGGTACAAAAAACTTTGATACATGTCTAAAACCGAGGTCTTCTCTTTATCAAATGTATAGATCCTCAGTGCTGCAGTTTGTTTTCATTCTCTAATTATATATCTCATTTAATTTTTGATTTCCAGTAATTTACCTTTGTATTAACGCTTTCTGGAAAAGCTGTAACAAGTTTAACAAGTAACAATACAACAAATTATTTTCTTAATGTAGCTATATAGCTACATTAAAAAAATGTATTGACCTTTGATAAAATAAAGCAACTGTCAATCGTTTTCAGGCAAAAGACGAAGAATGCATGATCGTCAGATAGTCAGTATTTCATCGCCTCCGCCAAATTACTCAAGTTCTGGATTTTTTAATGATGATGAAACGCGAAGTCCGCCGAAATATTCATTTACTGAGGAAAATATGAACAACTTGTCCATTCTAGCAAACTGTAATCAAGGATTTAGCAGGCAGTCATCTGGAAAAAAAGTTTATTATTTACATAAACCAGAAACAGGCGAACCGTTAGGAAACCAAATTCCGTATCCAGGTCCTCCACTATTCTCATATAATAAACCAAATAATTATGAATTGCTTAATCAAAAAGTAATCAACAGTGTCACAGCGCAAACGCCTTTTCAAACGCTCAGTCAATCTAAGGCCGGACACCGAAGATGCATTTCAGAAATTGGATGTACATCAGTTTCGTTGACAAGCGGTGAATATTTTCAACCACAGAGCGGTAAATATTCATTTTTAACAATTTTTTTTGCTTGAGTTTTTGTACTGATAGTTGAGAAATAAGGTAACAAAAAAACTTTTAGTTTTTTTTGTTTTTACAAAACAAAGGTGAAGGTTGAAACTTAATAATGTTTTTTTTTAGCAGTAAGATCAAACAAAGCAGATCAGATCAGAATTTGTCCTGTATGCAAACGGCGATTAACCAGACAGTGGTATGGTAACAAAAAAATTTTTTTTTCCTTGTTTTACTGCATTGCTGCTGTGATGTAAGTGAGCTGTAAATGATTGCAAAATACAATTTCTCTTACTACTATATTTATCATTTTTTTTTCTTAATCTTTTCAGCAATTACCAAAACCGAGTTATACTTTTGCTAAGCTTATGAGTATCTAATTTAAAACTCTTGTGCAAGCTTTACACTATCTAGTAATGAAGCATACTTATGTCTTGTTAATAACCAATATAATTGTTAATTTCAGCCGACTACTGGTGCTGTTGTTTTCGGTTTTAGTTTCGTTAACAACATGTTCGGCAATCTGCTTTTTCCTAAAAATAACTGATATATTTGTATCGATAACCGCCATTCTCAGTTCACTGCTCATCTTTCCGCTGCTTCTTGCAATACTGTTATCACAGTTAGCACCAAGCCTTTTATTTAAGTGGATTTGCAGTCACTGCCGACTTCTTAATGGTGATCCTAAATTTGTTTGTCTTTATTAGACCATTATTGCTTAGATGTTTACCAAAGTTCTACCAAATCTTTTAAATTGTATAAACTGTAAGAGCTTTGCTCAAGCAACTACTGCACAGGTAAAACGTACAGGTGCAAAAAGACAATTTTTCTATTAGTTAGTTTATAAAGAAAATTTGTTATAATTGTTCTATTGATAAAATTGTAGTAATACTGCTTCCCGTTCCTTTAAAAATTTTTTTTTCTCATTTTATTGCTATTGTTGCTGTCAATTTTTTTTGAAAGTGTTTAAGTACGTTTTAGTTAACTGTGATATTATGTGGTTTCCTAAAGTGGCCGATAAACAGCTGCACTTTTACGCTGTACATCAACTAAATTTGATGAACTTCTTAACCGCAAATAAACAGTTTTTGTAGTTTTGTCGTTTCTGTATCATTTCCGGTAGCTATTTTAGCTGTTAGGCAACAAGACTTTTCTAAAGTCGTTCAGAATAATCATTTAAAATTCCTTCATCGCCTTAATTAACGCAAATATCTGAAAAAAAAAAGAATTTCAAAGGGCAAAAAAGTGGATCAATGTTTAAAGTTCAATATAATAGAAAGTGATCGCTGATTACACAAAATGAACAGTTTAGAAGCCAGTATTCTTAAATAAATTACTTATGGTAATTATGGTCATATAGTTACAGTATTAAAAGAGCATTTGAAGACTGAAACATAAAACTGCTTTCGGCAATATCTTCGCAACTGGTCAAAGGTACTATTCTGTAAATGGTGATCTTCAAAGACATTATCTGATTTATATACACTGTAAAAGCCTCAGTAAAAGCTGTTCAACTTACCAACAGCATCGGATTATCCTCTATCTGCTGTACACCACTTTTACCTATTAGATCCTTTCAATTAATTCTACTCATTAATGCGAGTTATAGTTTCAGAACTGAAAAGCTGTTGAATTCTAAGACTTTCTTTTGGTTTTTCAGTGATTTTCACATTTACGTGGTAATTTTTGTGAAAGAATTAGAAATAGTAGATATAATTCAAATAACTGAACTGCTTATATTTATGCTACGTCGATAAACGAATGGCAACAAATTGATAAAATTGAGACTTCTTGTCAACACTAATTACTGCATGCAATAGAGCGTTTTTCAATTTTTAACAAGATAGTCAATAATTTTGTCATTGTTTCAGCTTGTTTAATTCATTAATTTTTTTGTAACTTGACAATGAGACACTTGTCGATTGAATAAGTTTTTTTTTTTTTGCAAGCATTTAATATAGATATAAGCTTTATGTGTTATTTTGTTTTTTTGCTGTAGTATCATTTCTTAGTCGTTATTTTGGTTAAAATTAAAACAAAACAGTTGTTAATGGTTTTGCTGTATAGTTTCTGTTGTTACTGCCTCTTCACTATGTCTGAAAATGTTTATTTTTAAGCAGTACAATATGTCAACGACGGTATCACAACTTCAGACTTTGGTTCCAGAGACAGAACCGCCACCGTCGTATAGCTATGTAGCAAATTCTAGTCCTCTATCACCTGCAGTCAATAGTGTTATTCGACAAAAGCAACCTGGAGGTATGAACAACAATGGAACTCCGTATCCAACAGCAGACAGTAACGTAGCTACATATCAGACTCCATTAGGATTCTGTGCTACTAACACTGCTGTTCAATCATGCCTAGCACCTAATCTTGTTCAAACTGCACCAACTCCGTTTCCGGTTGTTCAGCAACCGTCACAGCAGTATACTCCGCAAGTGATTCAACAACCAATTCAACCGATACAGCAGCCAATATTACAAATGCCACCGCTGCAAATGGTACAGCCTATACAAGCTGTTCCTGTTACTACCGGTAGCTCAAATCCTGTTCAAGGTATATAATATTATTTGCAGACAAAATCTTATTTTGAAATAATAAATGGTATTTTTTAAATGAGGTTATAAAAGTGATTTATAATAAAACAATTTGGCAAGCCATTCACTATTAAGGTCTCTTTATTTTATTTTATAATACAACTTTTTAATAATTTTTTTGTAAATTTTGTGGTTTCGATAATATATCAAATGTTCATGTGAATATTTAGGTGTTTTTCAAGATATTTAACGACATTTTATAAGAATTAAATGTAACGCATATAAAACTGAATGTTTTCTCATACTTTTCAATTAGCTATTAAGCTGTAAGTAAAAAAAACTTTAGCACATAAATCAAGCTATTTAATAGCGTATAATATATTTCTTGCCACGTACTAAAATGTTTATTTAGGTGGAATAAAAATTAAAGTTGAAAACAAAAGTTCAAATGCAAGTAAAACCGCAGGTGGAGCTCCAGGTACAGTATGTCCGCGATGTCGGGTTCCATTGATCTATGAAGCGTAAGTTGACAGTTGCAGATGTCATTTTTCTTGTTTTTTTTTATTTCTTATAGTAAAGTAATTTGAACTTATCTGTAGGTTAACACAAAACCTTTGAAAAGTATTGTGAAATAACGTTGAGTAGTTAAGAATACGTTAACACAATTATTCAAAAACAGATATCAATTATATCATAGGTATATTGATAAAGATGTCATATATAGTTTGTTGTTTAAATGCAGAGATGGATGTCTTGTATTTATGATCGTTTTATTTGCGTTGCTCCTGTCTCCATTTGGTTGGATTCTATTCATACTGCTGTGCACCAATTCGATACGAAACTGGAGGTGTCCAATATGTAATTACAGTGGTAGATGTTCATGTTCATGCTAAGATGATAAATTTGTTGCTGAGTAAAATGTTGAAGTAAGAAATGTTATAGTAATAGTTTTGACAAATTTCGCTTTCAGTTCTTTATTATTTATTGCTGAACAAAGTCTACTTAAGATGATAACTTTACTATAATTATTACTTTTTCTATACTAAAGGAGTATATTTGACATTTCTGTTTATTAACTGCTTTGATGGTCCAGCAGTTACTTGAACTGTGTTCAGAATCAATTTTAGGCACATCAAAAGTTGGACGATATACCAAATGTGAGGAGAAAGTTAATTTATTTTA